TTGTAAAGCACAAATGACCTCACTTGTAAGGGTGGGTTTTATGATCTAAAAACAATGCTGAGGATTTAGGGGGAAAGGTCTTGGATAAGTCAAAACAAATTCTGGAAGATAAGGCAGAGCCTGTCTCATCAGATAGCAAAGGGTCACTAGGTTGTAAAAAGACATCATTCCTAGCGTTCCAGGAAAAGTAGCTTACACCTCATTCTTTTGAAGGGGTGAGCTGCGAGTTTAACTTCCCTGGATTCTCCAGTGCCTATCTGTGTGCACAAGGCTCTTTGCTCTCCACAATGGCAGCCAACAACCTCCATAAGCACCAGGTGTGAATGTGCACAGACATACACACATAAAATAAGTGTTATTCTCTATCTTATTTCTCTGTGTTCTTTATTTCTTTTCTTACCAATATCCAGGTATATCCCTTCTGTCTCTCTTGATCTTCCTTCTCACTAACTTTATTTTTCTCTTACAGCTTATATACCCCAGCAAAATCTCTCAAGCAGTATATAAATTACAATGTGATTAATATATTTTTCAAGTGAATGATTACAATGAATACCAGAATTACAATGAATGCAAGGAAAAAGCTTGTTTTCCATATCCCTTACATGATTAAACATTTTACATATTACAGGTGAAAAACAGGTTGTCCCAAGAACACACATACATCCAACCCCAAGCAACTTGTTAAATAGATTAACAGAGTATAAGCAAGCAAGGTAATTTTCCTCAGCCAGTTCTCTTGCTGACAAGTCGACTGCATTCTGCAGTTTCAAAGAAAGGACCAATCATTTTATTATTCATCTCAAAAGGTAATCTTATCACAAATCTATTTGTATATGAAAAATAATCAGTCAGCTCTATTTTAAATCTTCAGGGTGCATACCGCTTCATAACAGTTCATTATATCAAGATGCTGAGGGCAGAAATGGGTACAAGGAACTAATCATCACCCTGTCTTAGTAAGAAAGGTACATCAGCCAGCAATAGCCAAGTTGTCATTGTTCTTGTTTCCTGTCCTCAGCAAGTCCCTTGCTTAGCTGTTAAAAGTATGTCTTTAAATTGTTTTCCAAACTTACTTTTTTAACTCAAAGCCATTAACAAAAACATCTTAACCTGAAGTCATTATTTAAAGCTTTGTTTTAGCTGTGATGCCCACCAAAACCTGTGAACACATCTATCTACATTAAGATTAAAAGAATTGAGCTAACAGCTTCTGGGTCACAACTGTTTTTCTTAATTATTAACATAAGCCACAGTCTGTACAGCTTCTCAAGAGAAACTAGCTATGTGACATTTCCTGTTCTTATTTTCTGTCCTCTGCAGCCCTTGCTTTATCAAGGACAGAGGCAACACCATATCTCACTTTACATATAGTAGTTTTCCCACCAAGCTAAACTCTATCATAATCCTTTATTATATTTATCAAAGACCCTCAATCATCAAAATCCTATTTAAGCCAACTCTCTTATTATATAAAATCATTGCTTCAGTTAAACAGTACAGCTTAGGAGGAAATCATCTTCATACTAATCCATAGATAAAAGTGCCCAGTAGAGCCAGATATTTCCATGAGGTAATCATATCACATTAGGGTGGGGATCTCCCCATGTCCATTCATACCATGCAGATACCAGAGAAAAATGGCAGTGCAAACATTTAAAGGCACAGCAGTAGCAAGAGACATTCTGGGTCCAAGCTCTCAGGGCCTTGCCTATCTGAGATTAACCCATCAGGGCCTTGCATGCTGGTTGGCCAATCTCCTGAAATCATTTGCCACTTGCTGCTTCTCTGACATGGCTACTGGCAAAATGCAACTTAAATATTTTTAAAATCACAATTTAGATAAGTTACAACTTTCAAAAGTTGGGTGATGCACCCATTAAATCAAAACTAGAAGTAGATGTCATGTTGTACTCTACTTAGAGAAACAGTTCGTATAGGGCTGGAGAGTTGGCTCAGAGGCTAAGAGCAGTGGCTGCTCTTCCAGAGGTCCTGAAAGTTCAATTCCCAGTAACTACACAGTGACTCACAACCGTCTGTAATGAAATCTGGTGCCCTCTTCTGGCCTGCAGGCACACATGCAGGGAAGACTCTGCATACATAATTAATAAACAAACAAACAATATCTTTTAAAAAAGAAATAGTTCATATAGATAGGTCAGTATAAACAAAGTTCTTTTACTCATTAAAGTAAATCCAAATTTAATACTTTACTTGAGCAACTCTAGCCTTTGTTGTGATAACTTATGATCAAACATTAATGGTAAAGAAATGGTTATTAGGGTAGTAGTGATGCATGCCTTTAATCCCAGCACTCAAGAGGCAGAGACAGGCAGATCTCTCTGAATTTGAGGGTAGGCTTTCTTCTGAGCATTAAATTGGTTGTGTTCTTGTACCTATTCTATTTACCAAGTTATTTAACCTATATCCTACTACATTTTTAACATAATTGTGCTTTTAAGAAGCAAAATAGCCAGGGGTAGTGCTTGTGCACAAATCCCCAGCACTTGGGAGGTAGAGACAAGCAGATCTCAGAGTTCAAGGACAGCCTGAACTACACAGAGAAACATTGTCTTGAAAAACGAAAACAAACAAAAACACAAAAGAAGGTAAATGTCACAAAAAATGTAATCAAAATCTTTGTTAATTTTGTTAACTACTGTCAGCAGATCCTGGTTATTGTTTATTTATTTCTCCAGTTCAGGGCTTGGAAAAGAATGACTCAGGGAACAAATCTGTCCCCTAATTCTTGCTTTTGTATATAAAGTTTTACTGGAACCCACTCATACTTGCTTGTTTAGAGATGAGCTACAAATGGTAAAGTATTTACTTTGAAATGTTGCTCAACCCTGTTTTGCCTCATGTAACAGAAGAGTAGAAGCAAATATAGTTTGTATCTAATTCTAAAGATATATAAAACTCAGTTTTAAATATCTATGTAGTTTATATCCTTTGTGCGGAAAGGCTGAAGAGAAAGAAATTGAAGTGATTAGGTTAATGGAATTTCCCTCCCTCAAATACACTGCAGTCATTTGAGCCCTTGTTTGTTGATAACACTAGTATGCCTAAGACCTAAGTTATATGTAGTATTGTTCAGCCAGTTCTATTTAGGATTCCTGTTTTCTTCTGGTTGAGTTTTTCCCCTGTCCATTTAAAAAGGTAGCAAAGATGATACAGTAAAGATTTAATTTTCTGGTAAATAAAATGTGGTCCTAGGTGAGTTTGTATTTACTTTCCGTGCCCAGGAGGGAAGTGTTCATCAGGTTTCCAATTAGATAGTTATCTGATCTCTTTCAAAGTCATGTCTGTCCGTTCCCCCTGCTGAAGCCAGTTAGTACTGTGTCCCCCTTGACAGGCTCAAGTTTCAGGAGCCTGGGGATCTTAAGTCTACTCTTTGCTTTAGGGTTCATAATTGAAAGTGAGACTTGTTCTCATCACACATAAATATAATGAGGGCGTCAGAGAACTTTGGCAGTTAGCAAAGGAGTACCCTGAGACTAATTATAAGTGATACAGTTTTTGCTCTGGTGTAGCTTCCAAAAGGGAGATTTGGCACTTGGAAAATGTGATTATGGAAATTATGTCTTTTGTTTTTCCCTAGTTACTGACTACTACAAAGAAGAAATCAAGTGTTAACTTGTTTGTGACCATTGTCAGGAGAAATTTTTATGTGGTATTTTCTGTTATCAATTTCAGTAGTATATTTAATCTTCTAACAGGCTTTAACTTACAACAGTTTGTATTCCTACTGATGTTTAAATAATAAATTGCAGTCAGTTTTAAAATATCTTGCATGTATATGAAACACAATTAAGAAAATAGAAATAAGGTTTGCACATATACAATAAATACAGTGGCTCCCCCCAAAAAAATCATTATTCTAAACCCAACAAATTTGAATTAATAAAAAAAAACCCTCAAAATGTCAAGTAAATTTATGTTTATTTTATGATAGAAGATACTCTAGTAAATGTCCAGGCTTTACCTCAAGGTAAGTAAAGAAATGGGATTTCTAGAAGATAGTGTGTAATGTAAAGAATGGTAAAGAGCTGTTGAATTTTTTATCAGTAGAAACTGGGACACTCGGGCCAGCAGGGTGGTCCTGTGGGTAGAGTGCTTGCTGCCAAGCCTGAAGGCCTGACTTTAATTCCTGTGATCCCTGTGGTAGAAGGAGAGAACCAACTCCCAAAAGTTGTCCTCTCACCTCCAGGTGTACAGTGGCATACAGTCCTGCCAGCACCACTAAACAGAAAATACGTGGGAAAAATGAGGTTCACTTGTATTTCTTTTAAGTGTATGTGGGATCTGAACTTGGGTCCTCTAGAAGAGCAGACACATTCTTAATGACTGAGCAGTCTTTCTAGAGCCTCCTCCATTTTTTTTTTTCCTTTTTTTTAATTGAGACGCCTCTGCTGCACTTGTTGTAGCAGAGGCATTTCAAAAAGGCTTTCACAGTTAAGTATTTATGTCAAGAAAATGGTTCTGATTAGCTGTGATAGCCTCCTTCTCAACTTCCTTGGTGCATATGTCTTTCTGCTTATTGTTAACTGAGTAATGGAGAGAAGATGAGCGCTGTCCGATAATTTGGTTTTTTTTTTTGTTTGTTTGTTTGTTTGTTTGTTTTTTGGTTTGACTTTTGGAAGATTATTCAAAGTTGGAAGTTACTTTCATAGTATACAACAGAGTAATAACTTTTTTCTTTGTAGAGATCTCTAACATACTAAGATCCTATATGGAAAGTACAAGTGGATGCTTGGCACTTTCCTACTTGTTACCTGCTGTAGCAACATGATTGCTGAATCATTTAGAGTAATAGTTAAAGTTGTTTCTCTCACTGTTTTCTGTACTTGAGTGGTGGTTTCCTTCCTTCTTACAGTAGGTGTGTGTGTGTGTGTGTGTGTGTGTGTGTGTGTGTGTGTACACGCTCGTGTAGGTGTACTAAAATTATGACATCATTAAAACTGAAGAAATGAAAGTGAACTTTTTGGGGGTTGATTCAGACAGCTTTACTCAACCGATTGGAGAGAATTTTCGAAGCCTGTTTTCCTTCTGTACTTGTCCCCGATGCTGACGAGGAAGTTACTTCCCTGAAGCACTTGCTGGAAATCAACACCTCACCCATAAAAACAAGAGAGGCCTTAGCTGAAAATGGGTAAGTAGTAGATGGTTCTAAGAGAACATTAGATTCTATTAGTTTCAGTTGTTCTAACTTATAAAGATTTCTCACAGCATTGTTTTACAATATATTTGAAGCCAAAAAGTCCCTGTTTCTCTGCTTCTGAGATGCTTCTTTTGATGTTTTTAAATTAACATTCTAATCAGCCAGTGTTATGTTACCTCCTGACCACATAGCCCAGGCTGTACCCAAACTCAAGGGCTTCCTACTTTAGCCTCCCAAGGGTTAAGATCACAGGTATGACTTAAGTGAGAATGTGTCACCACACATTTGCATCTTCTCAGTATATTTATATCACAGGTTTTGGTTAATTTTTTTTAATCTCATATTTTCCTTTTAACTATGTAAATACTAGGTACTGCTGAATAAGCTCTTGTTTTCTTTTACACACTGTCTCCTGAACTTTATGCAAGGTGAACATTCCTAATCTGGAAATCCAAACTTTAAAGTGCTATGGAATCCCGTACTGTGGGGAGCTGTGGGTGTAGAGCAGTTGTAGCTCACTGGCCTAGCCTGCTTGTACAAGGCCCCAGGTTTGGTCTCCAGAACTGGGAAGGGAAGAGAGGCTGAATTTTTTTTTTTTTTTTAATCCACAAATTTTTGAGCATTGACATTCAGAAAATTTATAATTATGGAGCATTTCAGAAACTCTAACTCAGGTATTCCAAAACCTAAAACACTCTGAAGCCAAAAACACATTTGAGAGCCTATTCTGTAGGTGGGGCTTTCCTGTCCTGGCAACCATTTCCCAAATAACTGACATAGAGGCTTAATACCACTTATAAATGCTTGGCCAATAGTTCAGTCTTGTTACTAACTAGCTCTTACAACTTAATCCATTTCTATTCATCTGTGAATAGAAAAGCTCAGGGTTTTTACCTCTGTCCCATTTTTCATGTCCAGCTTGTTCTCCATCTGGTTGGCGACTCCTCTGACTCCGCCCTTCCTCATCCCATCATTCTTAGTTTGGCTGTCCCACCTAACTATCCTGTTCAGTCACTAAACCAAGTCACTAAACCAATCATAGTGACATACATTCACACTGTACAGAAGGATCATTCCACAGCACTATTCATACAATTTTACTTATCAAATTTACCAGGCTGTCATCCCCTGCTTCACCTCCACCAACTCCCTTGCTCCTATTTAGAATGGTTGGTTCAGCCTAGGCCTCTGTATACCTGTCATCTTAAGACTTTCCTTAGATCCTGTTTGATGTGGCAATATATACAAGAAACAAAGTTTTGCTATATTCTGTTAGTGCGGGTTTATAAATTGTTGCTGATCTGACATTTCACAATGAAGTATCGCGATGTGAGTCTTTTCACTCATTACACTGATGGCTTGTTCTTCAGTAATGAACATTCCTTTTATAGTTTTACCTTTTCAGTTACCGTCTTTCCTTTGCCTCTGTTGGGATATCTAAATTTAATGTTTGTAATTTCAAAGTTAATTCCATTTCTGAGCTTTTTAAAAATACTTTATCATTCTCTGCCTCTGCAAGCATCCTTTCATTCTCAAGTTTTCCCTCTCCCATTCAACTAAGTCACTTGTAACTTGCTTGTCCCTTTTTGTGGCCTCGGTATTTCTGGTACAGACTTTCAAAAAGGCACAAGTCTCATTTCAAGAGATTCAGTCTAAGGAAATAATTTACCATATAATATATACCCCATAAAATACTGAAATATGGTCACTGCCAGCCTAATAATAGGACCCAAGTAGTAAAAGATATCTTACTGAAAACTGTAGGCTGTAACTAAACAAATGATAGTTCATTGGCTTAATTGAGTATTATGTGGCCATTGGCAAAATCACAGCAGTCCCTCCCTGTCCACAGGGAATATGTTCCAAGATCCCTGGAAATGCCTAAAATATTGAATAATGCTAATCTCTATATGTGCAATGTTTTATTTCTATATGTCTACAAATTCTCATTTATAAATTAAACATAGTAAGAGATTATAAATAGTAACTAGTGAGTTATATGAATGTGATCTCTCAGCACACCTTATTGTACTGTGATATGAGATGATACAGTATCTGTGTGATGAGATGATATAAGGTGAATACTCACAATAACACCTAATTAAAAATTAATGTATTGTGTCTTACTAGAATTTCCCCTTTAATATTTTCAAACATAGTTGACCACAGGTAACTGAAAACCATGAAAAAAGAAATGATAATGTCAGATAGGGTAGAAGGTGCTACTGTATATGCAGGCCGGAAAATACAATCTGAAAAAGAACTAGAAAATTTATATATTATACATCTATATAGAAAGAAAGATATATAATATAATTGCACCTTTGTTTGTGAATCAAAACTGAAGGACAGTTGGACATGGTAGTGTATAATTCCAGCACTCTAGAGGCTAAGGCAAGAGGATCCAGAGGCTAGGTCTTAGCAAACCACAAAAAAGAGAAAACTCAAATATTGAATAACTCTATTAAGATGGTGGGTGCCAAGTAATTTTATTTTCTTTTATATATTGATTTTTTTTTAAATAAAGACAATTTCTGATGTATCCCAGGCTAGCCTGGAACTTACTATGCAGCCAAGGATGAGCTTGAACTTCTGATCTTCTTTCTCCTAAGTGCTGGGATTGTAGACCTGTACCATTTCTCAGTGCTGGGATAGAACCCAGGGATTTGGGCATGCAGGGCAGCACTTAACCAACTAAACTGTAGCCCCAGCCCTTAAATGGACAAACTAGGAGGACTATTGGAGATATGGCTCAGCAGTTAAGAGCACTTTGCTCTTGCAGAATACCTAGTTTCAGTTCCTGGCACCAACATGGTGGCTTATAGTTTTCCATAACTCAGTTTCAGGGGATCTGAACCCTCTTCTACCCTCTGAACATGAGAGGCACAAATGTGGTACACACACATGCAGACAAAATACTTACACATATAAAATAAACACAATCTTTGTTTTAAGGAACAAGCTAATTCCCAGGCTATATTCCTTCATACAGAGTTTTAACTTACCTTTCTAATTACTGTCAGTGCTGGCTTTTGATTGCACAGTTGAGACAAGATTAATTGCAGTACCTAGTATATCATCAGTGTATTGAAGGTGAAGTTTATGGTGAAAGTGCTTGAGTAACCTGTTGTTGGCTTCATTGTGGCCTTTACAGTGAACTGCTGGATGTATGGACAGAACTGCAGGATATTCATGATGCACATGGCTTGAGATACCAGTGGGGTGGCTCCCATAGCAACAAGAAGCTCTTGTGCTCTTTGGGAATAGACACTCGAAACATTGTGAGTTTGCTGGAATCTTGAAAAATCCTTTAATCAACCTGTACGTTTTTTAAATTTACTATTCTTGTTTAAGCTGTGAGTATATAGCTCTACAGAGAAATGGTTAGCTTGAATGTTCATTTATTTTGAATATGGCAAAGACACTGTAATGTTCCTCTTAAAGGCAGTGGTCCTTTTATTTGATTGATTGAGATATATATATATATATATATATATATATATATAGAGAGAGAGAGAGAGAGTTTTCTGCCTGCATGCCAGAAGAGGGAATCAGATCTCATTATAGATGGTTGTGAGCTGTCATGTGGTTGCTGGGAATTGAACTTAAAACCTCTGGTAGAGCAACCAGTGCTCTTAATTTCTGAGCCATCTCTCCAGCCCAAGTCAATGGTTCTCAAACTTCCTAATACTGTGACCCTTTAATACAGTTCCTCGTGTTGCAGTGAGCTCATAACTTTCGTCATATTTGTTGATACTTCATAATTATAATTTTGCTACTGTTATCAATCGTAAATATCAGATATACATTACATTTGATAGGCAATCTCTATGAAAGGGTTTTTTGGCTCCCAAAGGGGTTGAGACTCACAGGTTAAGAACCACTGTTCTAAGTATTATTTCTTAGAAAATTTTTGTTTGTTTTTCCTTAACTGTAAAATGAAAGATTGGGCTGGGTTACATATATGCACACATGTATGTGTGTACACACATGTATATGTGTCAGTATGAGCCCATAGGAAAGCTTATAGTTTATTCTGTTCATCATTCACAGTATAATCAAACATTTTAGCATATTAGAAACAATTTCACTGTATGACGGACAAATCGTTCTCTAAATACATGTACTTTTTCCCTAATGCAAACACAGCTGTTCACTGGCAATAAGAAGCAGCCTGTTATAGTGCCCATGTATGCAGCAGGATTGGTGAGTACAGAATATTTCTACATATATTCATCTTTATTGTGTATATATTTTTTTAAATCATCTTACATAGCATGACAAAAAAAATAGTTGTGTGGTTTGAGATATGGTTTTTGTATATAGACCAGGCTGGCATAAAATTCTCTATGTAAATAAACAGTCTGGCCTTGACATAGAGATTCACTTGCCTGGCTTTGCCTCCTGAGTGCTAAAATTAAAGGTATGCATCACTACACCTGTCAGAAGGTGTTTTTGTTGTTATTTTGTTTGGTTGGTTTGGGGGTTTTGGTTTTTTTGTTTTGTTTTGTTTTTGTTTTGTTTTGTTTTGTTTTTTTGTTTTTCAAGGCAGGGTTTCTCTGTTAACATCTATCCTGGATCACTATGTAGACCAGGCTGGCCTCACAAAGATCCACCTGCCTCCACCTCCCGAGTGCTGGGATTAAAGGTGTGCAGCATCACACCTGGCTATAGGACAAGAGTCCTGGAATCCAGCTGTATCTCACCTTCATAAGGCAGCCATTGACGCTGAGCCATCCCCCTAACCTGTCTTTTCTAAACTTTTAAAAAGAAAAACAGGAGATAAAGTATCTGAAACCTTAGAGATATGTCTTAATCCAGTAATTAATTTTAAATAAAACAACATTGAGATGATGGATGTTAAAAGAACTCGACCAAATTGTAGTACATAAAAATGAGCTAGGACCTTGAAGTTTCTATTAGTATTTTAATATTTTTAATGTGTTAAATTTTGTTTTCCAGATATTCCAGGTAGTTCTGGCAAATGGGCATTTTATTTTATTCTTTAGCAAGATTCAGTCATATTTTGCAGTTTTGTGGGGAGTGGGTATGCATATGGGTGCAGGTGTGCATAGGGATCAGGGAAGGACATAGGAGTCCTGCTCTGTAACTCTCAGCCTTATTCCTTAGAGACAGATTGCTCACTGAACTTGAAGCTAGGCTATAGGCCAACAAGACCCAGCTGAGCTCTCACAGTGCTGGGGTTACAGGCATGCATGAGCAGTCACACCCACCTTTGTTTTTAGGTAGGTCCTAAGAATTTGAACACAGGTCCTCAGGCTTGCGCAGCAAACACTTAAGCACCATCTTCCTAGCCTCTCAGTCACATTTTAAAGTTTGATGTTTGTGGTTTTGGAGTGAATTACTACTAAACGAAAATGTCCTATCCATTAAACTGAAAATGTCTTGTTATTATAAGGAATAAATTGAATTTAAGGGGAAAATGTTGTAAAAACTAAAGAAAGCTGGGTGTAGTGATACAGACCTATAATTCCAGCACTGAGGGGTGGAGGCAGGAGGATCAGGAAGGTGTGCAGGGGCATCCTTTTCTCATGGCTAGTTCAAGACTACCTGGGCTACATGAGACCTTGCCTCAAAGAAAAAAAGAGAATTCAGGAAGGAATCATAAAACACTCTAAATTCTACCACCTATATTGTGCGTGTAATGTGCAACTTAATTTTTTTCTTGATCCAGTTTATTTTCTGTGAATAGGTACTAATTTTATTGGTATTGAACTGGATTTATGTTTGCAGTTTCTTGTGGAATTTTCTGTGCCCAAGCTTTCTTAACAGTTTCTGCTCCCTTATTTACCTTGCATTGTGTACTCTTCTGTTCTAGGTAAATGCAGCCCAGGACATTTTTTTTAATTTATTGCTTATCTGGACTTCTTTTTTTCTCAAGCAGTAGTATTCCAGAGGTTGTTGGTGTAATCTCTTGTTCTGAGTAGCAACTAGGAATTTCACTTGTAGTCAGTCTGGTAAGCTGTCTACTTTATGCACAGGACCTACTTTATGCACATGTGTTGCCTCAGACCATTAGCTGGCTCAGAGTCCTGTGAGGAGTTGGTGGCTAAAGCTTACACTGCATTTTTTTTTAACTTTATTGCCTATAATAGTAAAAATTTACTGTTTTTAAGCCCCGTACTAAAATTTATTTAGTGAACATAAATAGATCTTCCCACGTCTGTCTCTGTGGTTTCTGAGTGTGTGTGGTAGGGGTACATTGCATGTCTCTGTCCATCTGCTTCCCCGCCCAGGCAAGCGTCACTGTGCCCACCTTTTTTCACCTGAGTAAACATTGAACTAATAAGGGTCCTCATGCTTGCAAAGCCATTCCTTTATCCAGGGGTATCTTTAATAGCAAAAGTTTAATTATAGCTGTATATCTTTTTCCTGTGGTGCATTTTATATGAAGGAGAAGACCTGAGTAATTATTTACATTTGTAATTCTCCAACTTCATTAAAATTGATTGGAAGATTCAGGAGAGATTTCTGTGGTCTGGATGTGATGACACATGCCTTTAATCCCAGCAGTAGGGAGGCAGAGGCATGTGGATCTCTGTGAGTTTGAGTTCCAGTACAACCAGGGCTACACAAAGTAACCCTGACTCAAAGAAAAAGAAAACAAGAGAAAAAGGGAGAAGAAGGGGGAAAAAAGATACAGATTTCTGGCACCGCCTTAAGCTTTTTATTAAGTGGATCTGAGGCAAAGCTTGAGAATTTATGCATCTGATAAAGTTTAGGTGCTGCTAATTGGCAACCATAATTTGAGCACTGCTTGTTTAAATCATAGTTCAAATTAAGAAATTTGTCTGACACTTGTAATTACAAAATCTTTAGAAATCTACAGGTTCTGAGATTACTGACTTAGCAGCTTTGATCTCACACACTCATGCTAATAGAGTTAAGATTGACTTGTGTGTGGATATAACTTTTCTAAATATTCAAGAGCTTATCAAGTTATTTAGTTTTGTTTGTTTGGTTTCCAGAAGGACTCTAGTCCTCAGCTATGGTTTATAATATGTTAAAAGCAAAAAACCTTTTCTTGCTATCAACCTGGATTATCCATTTTGTGTTTGGTAGAACCTTGATACCAAATGATTGTTTGTTTGTTTCTATACCCATCCAAAGTATTTACCTTTTTAACTTAGAAAGTATGTTTGAGCTGGGCAGTGGTGCTGCATGCCTTTAATTCCAACACTCAGGAGGCAGAGACAGATGGATTTCCATGAGTTCGAGGCCAGCCATGGCTACACAGAGAAACTGTCTTGAACCCCCGCTCCCACAGAAGTGTGTTTGAATTGTTTTAGATCCAGGGGAGTACATAGTGTTTTCCTCTCTGAAATGGCAGTCTCTCTATACTTTTTTTTTTTTTTTTTTTTGCTAAACCCAGGAACTAAGTACTGAGACACTAGCTCAAATTTAAACATATTAAGTTCATACTAGAAGACATTGTGTTTTCTAGTATGTAAAAAGGTTGCCTTTTCATGTAATATTAGTGTCTTAAACATCATAAAGTAAAATCTTATTTAAAATGGAAGATTTGACTTCAAAACTATTTATTCTAAAATAATATTTTATATATAGTATTTTGAAAATGATCTCTTTTTCCTTTAGGTTGCTATTATTATAAACTTTGTGTTGATCCCTCTCCAATATACCTTTTTCAGGGAATGTTAGAGCCCACCAAGGAACCATTGAAGCCATTGTCTGCTGCAGAAAAAATTGCTTCTATTGGTCAGACAACCATCATGACACCAGAAATGAGCACATGTACATCTGATCCATTCCAGGTAAAATATTTGTATGTATATAAGTATGTATATAGACACATAATCACACATGCTGGCTTGTTTTCCTTAATACATGTTTTTTATCTTTATATTTGTAAAGCTTGATGATAGCCCTGTTCTTGGTTGTTAATTAACATTCTCAGAATACAGTGAACAAATTATCTGTAATTTTCAAATAAAAAGAGAGCTGGGCAGTGATGGTACATGCCTTTAATCTCAGCACTTGACAGGCAGAGGCAACTGGATTCCAGGAGTTCAACTCAATGTTTAGCTGTGGGTGTCTGCTTCTGTTTCCATCAGCTACTAGGTGAAGGCTCTAGGATAGCATTTAAGGAAGTCATCAATCTCATTATAAACGAAGGACATTTAAGGTGGCCTCTCCACTATTGCTTAGATTCTTAGTTGGGGTCATCCTTGTAGATTCCTGCAGATTTCCCTAGTGCCAAATTTCTCTTTAAACTTATAATGGCTTGCTCCCTCTATTAAGTTATCTCTTTTCTTGCTCTCCTTCTCTATTCTTTCCCCAACTCAATCTTCTGATCCCTCATGTTCTCCTATCCCCTCCCCTTGTCCCTTCCTCTTTCTCTTAGCCCCACCCCCCACCCCATGCTCCCAATTTGCTCAGAAGATCTTGTCCCTTTCCCTTTCTCTGGAACCATGTATGTCTTTCTTAGGATCCTCCTTGTTTCCTAGCTTTTCTGGGGTTGTAGATTGTAGGCTGGTAATCCTTTGCTCTAATATCCACTTATGAGTGAGTATATACCATGTTTTCCTTTCTGTGTCTGGGTTACCTCACCCAGGATGGTTCCTTCTAGTTCCACTCATTTGCCTGAAAATTTCAAGATATTTTACACTGAGTAATAATCTATTGTGTAAATGTACCACATTTGCTTTATCCATTCTTTGGTTGAGGGGCATCTAGGTTGCTTCCAGGTTCTGGCTATTACAGATATGCTGCTATGAACATAGTTGAACAGATGTCCTTGTGGTATGAATGTGCCTCCTTTGGGTATATGCATAAGAGTGGAATTGCTGGATCTTGAGGTAGACTGATTTCCTGAGAAGCTGCCATACTGATTTCCAAAGTGGTTGTTCGAGTTTGCATTCCCACTAGCAATGGAGGAGTGTTCCCCTTTCTCCACATTCTCTCCAACATAATGATGATCTCAGCCATCTGACAGGTGTAAGATGGTATCTCAGAGAGGTTTTGATTTGCATTTCACTGATAACTAAGGATGTTGAGCGCTTTCTTAAGTGTCTTTTAGCCATTTTAGATTCCTCTATTGAGAATTCTCTATTCAGTTCTGTACCCCACTTCTTAATTGGATTATTTGATTCTGGTGACTAGCTTCTTGAGTTCTTTGTATATTTTGGAGATCAGCCCTCTGTCAGATGTGAGATTGGCAAAGATCTTTTCCCATTCTGTGGGCTGCTGTTTGGTCTTATTGACTGTGTCCTTTGCCTTACAGAAGCTTCTCAGTTTCAGGAGGTCCCATTAGGAAATTCAGAAAATCATTAAGGTCATATCTCTGGCATCTCTTAATTTTAGCATTTTACTTGGTTTTATACCTTCCTCCTCAGCCTCTAAGCTGGATAGGCTCAACTTGATTTTTGGAGGTTAGATGCTTTTATTAATTTGGCTATCCCTATTTTAACAAAACAATTATCTTTCTCAAAGAACTAATTCATGTTCCTATCCTATGTATAATAGTATCTTTACCTGGGAAAAAAGTAAGTATAATGTTGTAATAGCACCTTCCTTACAGTGAAGCATGGCTAGTAATATCAACAGTATGAATGTAAATAAGCAACATGTTGATATTAAAAATCTAATAGAACACAAGTTATTTCCATAAGTGTTGTTAACACAGCAACAAAAGAGAAAACAAAAATGGTTTTCTGTATAAAACACTTGTTCTTTAAATAAGCAGCCACTTCATTTTAACATCTATCAAACTATCTTCTTTTTGTTTCTCTTTTTTTAATTTATTTTTTACATTCCACTCCCAGTTCTCCCTCCCTCCTTTCCTCCTGCTCCCCCATCTCCCCCCCCCATCTGCTCCACATAGAGGGTAAGGCCTCCCCTAGGAAGTCTAAGTCTGTCCCTTCATCTCGTTGAGGCAGGACCAAGGCACCTTTCCACTCCCACACCAGTGTCTAGGCTGGGAAAGATAGCTTTCCATATAGAATGGGCTCCACTGAGTCAGTTTGTGCATTGGTGTTAGATCTTGGACTCACTGCCAGTCGCCTCATATATTGTCCTATTCACATCATTGTCACCTATATTAAGGGAGTCTAGTTCAGTCTTATGCAGGTTCCCCATTTGTCAGACCTGAGTCAGTGATCTCTCAGTAGCTCAGGTCAGCTAACTCTGTGGGTTTTTCCATCATGGTCTTGACTCCTTTGTTCATACTCTATTGTCCCTCACTTTGATTGTATTCTAGGAGCTTGGTCCAATGGTTAGTTGTAGATTTCTGCATCTGCTTCCATCTGTTTCTGGAAGAGGGTTATGGATTGTAGGCTGGGTATCTTTTGCTTTTATGTCTGGTATCCACTTATGAGTGAATACATACTATATTTGTCTCTCTGGTTTTGTGCTACCTCACTTAGGATGTTTTTGGTTTTTTGTTTTGTTTTTTCTAGTTCTGTCCATTTGCCTTCGAATTTTAGGATGTTATTGTTTCTTACTGCTGAGTAGTACTCCATTGTATAAATGTGCCACATCTTCTTTATCCATTCTTCAGTTGAGGGGCATCTAGGCTGTTTCCAAGATGTGGCTATTACAAATAATGTTGCTATAAACATAGTTGAGCAAATGTCCTTGTGGTGTGAATGTGCCTCCTTTGTTGTGCCCAACAGTGGTATTGCACGGTCTTGAGGTAGGCTGGTCTGACAAATTGCCATACTGATTTCCACAGCGGGCTATACAAGTTTGCACTGCCACCAGCAGTGGAGGAGTGTTCCCCTTTCTCCACATTCTCTCCAGCATAAGCTGTCATTCTGAGGGGTGTAAGATGGTATCTCAGAGAGGTTTTGATTTGCATTTCCCTGATAGCTGAGGATGTTGAGCACTTTAAGTGTCTTTCTGCCATTTGAAATTATTCTGTTGTGAATTTTCTGTTTAGATATGTACCCCATTTATTTAATTAAATTATTTGGTAGTTTTGTGTCTAGTTTCTTGGGTTCTTTGTATATTTTGGAGATCAGTCCTCTGTCAGATGTAGGCTTGGTGAAGATCTTTTCATGTTCTGTAGGGAGACATTTTGTATTGTTGACCATGTTCTTTGCTTTACAGAAGCTTCTCAGTTTCAGGAGGTCCCATTTTGTTGCTCTCAGTGCCTATGCTACTGGTGTTCTATTTAGGAAGTGATCTCCTGTGCCTATGTGGTCAAATGTATTTCCCCACTTTCTCTTCTATGAGGTTCAGTGTGGATGGATTAATATTGAGGTCTTTGATCCATTCTGACTTGAGTTTTGTGCATGCTGATAGATAAGGATCTATCTGTCTTCTTCTACATGTTGACAACCAGTTATACCAGCACAATTTATTGAATATTTTTTTCTGTTTTATATTTTAGCTTCTTTGTCAAAAAAGTAGGTTTTGATAGGTGTGTGGATTGATAACAGGGTCTTTGATTCCATTCCGTTGGTCCACCTGTCTGTTTTTTTGCCAATACCAAGCTGTCTTCAATGTCAACTATCTTCTATTTGATTTACCATTATTCATTTTATGTTATGAAATTGAAAAACCTAGAGTAGTCAAACCAGTTGTAAGAATTCATTTTAGGTCGGGCGTTGGTGGTGCACGCCTTTAATCCAAGCACTCAGGAGGCAGAGGTAGGCAGATCTCTTGTGAGTTTGAGGCCAGCCTAGTCTACAGAGCTAGTTCTAGGACAGCCTCCAAAGCCACAGGAAAAACCCTGTCTTGTGAAACCAAAAAAAATAAATGAAACCAAAAAAATGAATGAATGAGAATTCATTTTAGGCTGGGTAGTGGTGATGCAAGCCTTTAATCTCTATAAGTTCGAGGCCAGCCTGGTCCACAAGAGCTAATTGCAGGGCAGGCTCCAAAGCCACAGAGAAACCCTGTCTTGAAAAAAATAAAAAATAAAAAAATAATAATAATAATAAAATAATAAAAAAAAGAAGATTGCATTTTAGTGCATAAATCTCCCAAGGCATGGTAGTGCATCCAGTGATCACACTTGGAGGACTGAATAGTAGTTCGAGTTCAAAAACCAGCCTGCCCTCACAGAGTCAGTTTAAGGCCAACCTGAGCAATGAAACTAGCCCCTGTCTCAAAAAGGAAAAAAAGAAAGAAAATCCTGATTCCAAGTAATTTCTTTTGTTTGTTTGGTTTGGGTTTGGTTTTTCAAGGCAGGGTTTGAGACTAGCCTGAGAAATTTATCAGGACCCTTCCTCAAAAATACATTAATTTGGCTGGAGAGATGGTTCACTGGGTTAAGAACACTTGCCTTGCAAGCATGAGGACCTAAGTTTGAATATTGCTCTTGAAAAAAAAAATGTGGGTGTGTCCATTCAAAGTCTATAACCCTAGCGCTGTGCAGGACAGATAGGACTTGCTGACTGGCAGTGTAGCTCCAGATTTGCTCAAATACCTGACTCAAAGGAATAAGGTAAAATGAGATAAAGCAGGATGTCCAGTCTCTCTCTCATTTTCTCTCTCTCTCTCATTTTCTCTCTCTCTCATTTTCTCTCTCATTTTCTCTCTCTCTCTCTCTCTCTCTCTCACACACACACACACACACACACAAATATCTGATAATCAACACTTTATAAATGTACATCCCAGCCAGGCATGGTGGCATATACTTTAATCCCAGCACTCCAGAGGCAGAAGCAGGAAGATGTCTGAGTTTGAGGTTAGCCTGTCCCAAGACAGCCAAGACTACATAGTAAGACCTTGTTTCAAAAACAAACAAAAAAGTATGCATCCACTTACTGGTCCACAGTTTCTTTTCTTTTGAGATCAGGAAACTTGTGAAGAACTAGGGGCTTTGGAATATATACCTTCTCATTTTCTATATCATGAGACTAGCTAAGTTAGTAAAAATCACATGTAAGTAGTTATCATCTTCAACTATCCAAATTCACTTTTAATGTAGTTACTTCTCTGTTATATTGCATTTTATCTGCTAGTGTTACGTGGCTAGTATTTAAAAATAAATGTAACCACAAAAAAAGTATTTTAAATCCTTTTCTTGAAATCTAACATTTTAAAATAGAACATAAAAAAGATTGAAATAGAAACAGTCCATAAAATTGTTTGAAAATTTAAAGATACTCCATTTTTTGGATATAATTTTTATAATGTCAATAAGCATACTGTTTATAAATTGTGCAATTTCAGTTTGTGTTAATATTTGTAAGTAACCTGAAATTGTATATCATCCAAATTTGTCTATAGGTACATTGTTGTCTTACTGTATTTTGGGGGTTTTGCTTTAAGGATTCTTTGCTAATACCTATACTGATAAATTTTGATTTTTTTTTTTTTTTTTTTTTTGTCTGTTTGTTTGTTTTTGTTGTTTCCACTCTAGGAGTCTCTCCCACCCGTCCAGTTTGACTGGAGTAGCAGTGGCCTTACTAACCCTTTAGATGGTACGTCTCTCCGTAGAGCCTCTAGCACCAGAGCTAGAGTTAAGAAAGCTACACAGTTCAGACAGACTTCTCTCTGCTGATTCCCTCTTTTGTTTAAACATAACTTCTTATTCTTATCTTTGGAAATTCAGGCTTTCTTTCTAAATAGTAATTGCTCAAGACACCAGCCATTACTATTGTCAACAGTATTAATACCTAAATATTGGTAGTAATACCAAGGTAAAGTTTTAGTTCCTTTATCTTAAGTCAAAATTAGATAGTTTAAATGATATTTTAGCTAAGACCAATTTATTTGAAGTTTTATAGCTTTACTTTGTGAGATCTTCTTGAATACAAAGTCTTGTGAGTAGAGGTTGTTTCAAAGCATAAAGCACAATTAATTATTCACTTAACCAAAACAGTGTAGATAAATCTGTATTTATTGACTTAATGTAATTTTCAGATTCAGTAGCATTTTATAGAGTACATATGCAAATGAAGATGAGCGATTTTCATGATTATTTTTAAATTTATCTCCAGATAATGACAGGGCAGTTCCAGAAATCAGTGGTTTTTCTTAGGTCTTTAAAACTCTGAAAGGAGAGTGACTTATGCAAGTCCTGTAGGATCTTCAACACACAGTGCTAGTTTTAGAGTCCATGCTATGGGTTTTCAGTGAACCCTGAGTTACAGTTAGTTGCTTCTTAAGCCATTTGAGCCATTGTCTAGTATATCTGTTAACTGCCATCTCAGTGGCGTTTACCATGCCGTTGCCTGAAACACTCTTGCCAGCTTTTCCTTGTAGCTAGGATCCTAGGACACCTGAAACCATCAATTGAATATCCTGCTGAAGGAAAGCCTGGATGCACCTTTTGCTATTGTCTGTCTTCAGTCAAATCATCATGCTTTTTATTAACAATTTCTTTAAAAATGTATACTATTTGTGATGACTGTGGCAGAGTTAAAGGGGAACAGTACAGCTTGTACATCAGGGTAGGACAGTTAGGCCATCCATATTGTGTTATTTTAAGTAAGTCAATATATTTATTGGCGCATGTCCTAAAACTTACAACTTTGTCATTGTTTTAAAAAGCATTCATTAGAAATCAGAAATTGTTCATAGGAACTAATGTGAAAGATCAGACATGTAGTGATTTAATATTGGGTTAAGATTAAGTATTGTTTCCCTTTAACTAGTATGCCTTCCCTGGTCTTTCTGATACCTTTCAGTTTTGATTGAAAGAACTGACTTCTAACTAAAACCTAACAAAGTGTTATTATATTCTTTACCATGTACATGAGGAAATATACATTGAGTTAAATTGTTACTTTAGTTATGAAAACCTAATACTGTACACATTGTTTTAATGTTGATTTTTAAAATGTGTAATGACTACTAATTATAACCTGCATGTTCAAGTGTGTGTCTTACCCCTTTTTACACATAACCCCTCCTCCCTTGGCTTACCTTCTGTGTGGCTGCCTACCAACATGGTCACTGAATTCCAAGCTAGTGGAGGTTCCACTCTTCTGAACCTTGATTTCTTTGGGCCCGTGGATGACAGTAGCTCTAGCAGCAGCACAATCCCAGGTCAGCAGAGTGTTTAAGCACAGTTCTGGTTATTTACTAAAAGCATGACCACACTTGACTTTCCTATAAACAAGGAAACAGGTAGATTATATTCTCTCTAATACTTTTCCTTCATCTATCTTACTTTCTAATATCTGATTGTAAGGAACAACTCATGTGAAATACATTTTTAGGAATACTTTCTCGGAGGGTAATATTCAGAGCTGGCGTGGTTTCTGTAGTAATAAAGCCCTACTAGCTTTAGACAGCTACAGATGTTTTGTTTTTCACCCCTCTAGGTGGACCATGTATTTATATGCTTATTTTGAAAGCATATTCTATAAAACCATATGAAAGTTAACACTGGTTTAGAGAAGGAAGGATGGTTTAGTACACAGAGATGGCTTCAAGTTATAATGTCTATAATGTAATTTTTACAAATTCTAGCATTTTAATTAGTTCTTATTAGTATTGCTAAATATATAATTGAATCTAAAATGTTGGAATCTAGCATGTAGTTATATAGTTCCACATCAAAAAAATTACTATTTTTAGGTAGCTCTTAAGTAGAAAGCATACTGTTAGTATACATGTAGCAAAAAAAAAAAAAAAAAGTTAATAGTAGAAAGTAATTGCTATGAACCTAACAGCTAAAAATTAAGCTTACTAGTACCTGTTAATGTTCAGCCCTACGTACGGATCATTGACCAAAGGACTAATGTACTTTGTCATTTTTCTAACTAAATAAAAGATGGAAAGTATAATGGCATTTTAATGTTTACATTTTATTGAATATTTTAATGAGTCCCTGCCATCCCAAGTTGTGATCTGGTAATTATTGATAATCAGACAGCTACTACTGGGGTTCTGTTCAAATGCTAACTTCTGGAATGCATATTGAGGATTTCCTTCTGTGCCCAGTAGTGGCCATTTTTGTAGCTAGCCTGGGTTCCTGAGAATTGGGGGGGGTGTGGTGTTTGCTGTGAGTCTATTAGGTAACCCAGCCACCCTCTTCAATAATTTATCAGCCATGATGGTATGTGAAGGAAAGCAACAAAGTCTGCTAAGGGCAAGCCTGGACTCAGGAAGCCCTTCTCTTATATCCAGCTACTGCCACAGGAGAGCCCAACAAATCCTAGGGTAGAATGGCAAGATTCCTCAGAGTTAAGATCCCAGTGTTCAAAATTCTTGGGGGAATAAGAAAAAAAAGGTCTGTATTTGGTTTTGCTACTTACTTAAATTTGATATTTTACTACTTAAAGTTCTACTAAGTGTATCTGATTTATGGAACAGCCTGGAGGAGCTAAACTGACAGTTCATGATACTTACTGGAGGGAAAGGAGAGACTGGGAATTATCCAGGCTCCCTCTCAGTCTGTATCATAATTAAAGTGAGGTCAGTTTTCCTTTGAGGTGCCTAAAACTTGATTTAGATTTTAAATCCGCATATATTTTAAATTCATTTTTAAAAAGTATTGAGAGGAACACCAATGACCCAGTTGCTTAGAGAAGTAAAAGACTTCCTGATAATTGGGCTTAGGGTGCAGCCCCAAGTTTGAAATGTCTAATGCTGCAGTGGACTCAAGCACAGCATGGTCCAATGCAGTCTCTACCCTGTGAAACCTTTAATACTCGCAGTTGCATCAGCATGCTCTAGCTGCTGGGTAAATTTGATTGCAATGATTGCTTTGGTTTTTTTATTGTTATTCAGGGTCAATCCCTTCCTTAGTGTTCCACCTTTACACTTGTTTGACCTTTCTTAACTTGTTTATGGGAAAGTCATTTTATCTTAGCTTGCTGTTGACTATTGTGTGTGATTCTTAGGCGGGCATAGAACTTGGATGGCTACTTTAATTGTGTAATTAAACTGTGCCTCATTAAGGTTCTGTTAAAGAAAAAAATTCATTAAAAAAATTCTCTCTAGTTTTCTAGATAATTGCCTTGTCTCTGAAAACATTAACTGTAGTTGTTAGAGATCTCAGTCATTTTTTGGTTTGGGGGTAGTCTATGGAAGGGGAAGAATGTTCTGGGGGGGTGGGTAGAAAGGTGATTTCCCCCCCCCCGTGGTCAGCACTATTACTTTCAGTGTGCTACTTAATCTGATATTTGAGTGTCGAGGGTTTTATAAACCCATCAAAGATTCTCCTGGCACTCCCTGGCTGTCAGTCAGAATGCAAGTGTTCTGCATCATATGGACACCTGACCTTCTATATTGTGTTACTTGGAAGGTAACCTTCACCAGTGGAAAAGAGATAGTTTGGGCTCATTTGGCCTTTTTCTAGACATCTACAGTTTTATCCATTTTAGCTTTGGCCTGTGTGCTTATTATGGAAGAACAAGTTTTAAAGTCTGTCTCGAACTTGTATGTTAATGAACTGTTAAGAACTTGGGAGTCAACATGCACCTTCTCTCACCTCTCCCCTGGTGGGCTTGGTAACTGTGGAAGCAGTTTCTCGTTTTTCTATAAACGGCAAAAATCCACACTACTACCTGTGCTCTCTGCAGAGCTGGTTCACCAAGGAGAAAACTTGTTCATATATTTATTGTATTTTTTGCCTAATCTTATAGGCTTTTCTTAAAAAATAAAATTGAGCTAAGTATAGCCAGGCACATCTGTAGTCTAGCTGAGGCAGGAGGATCACCTGAACTAGGGAGTTCAAAGCCAACCAGAGCAATATTGTAACGCCCTGTCTCAAAGGAAAAATAAAAATAAAAAATTGAAGAAGCTACCAAACATTTTTTTGTAAGTGATGCTTAACTATAGCTCCATCTTAGCTTCCCTTCTGTTGCTCCAGCTTGCTATCTAAATGAGACTATACATGTATAACTGGTCCTGGAAATAAGCATTTTCATCATGTCCCAAAGTAGAGCCCCACTCTCTTTTCTGGAATTGTTGTCTCTCCACCTTTTACTTGAAGTACATGCAGTATATTGTTAGTAATAACTTGATGCCCTGAGTATTTTTTCACATCTTTAGTCACAGTTAAGATAACTAAATCATTTTCTACAGTAGAGACTTTATGTTAGTCTCCAAGTCTCTGACATGAAAGAAAATACTGGAGTTACAAAACAAAACAACAACAAAAAGAGATCAGAGCAAAGTTCAAAATGAGGTTCATTGGCCAATTTGAAAATTGAGACTGTTGATCTGGAGAGATGGCTCTGTTCCTCCAGAGGATCTGGGTTCAACTCCCACTACCAACATGGCAGCTCACAACTGTCTGTAACTCCAGTTCCAGGGGATCCAAAACCTTTACACAGACATACATGCAGGCAAAACACCAATACACGTAAAATAAAAAATATTTTTTTTAAACTTGAGAATATTGGAGGTCAGGTGTGGTGACTCATACCCATAATTCCAACATTCAGGAAGCTGAGGCAGGATAATTGTCATGAGTCAAAGCCAGTGTAGACACTACAGAGTTAAGACCCCATCTCAAAAAGTGAAAATATCATAGCATGTTCATTCTATCTATAAACACTGATGATGTATCAGAATAAATATAAAACTGAGTGATAGATTCTTGTAGCATTTGGGAGCCATCAACTACATACAGCATTTATTCTAAAATGAACTTTTATGTGTTCCTTTTATAGATACTTCAAAGCTTACCATTTAATTAAAAATAAATAAGTAGGGGGTTAATTGGCTCAGTAGTTAAGAGCACTGGCTGCTCTTATAAAGGACCTGGGTTCTGTTCCCAACATCTACATGATTCCAGGAGCTCCTATATCAACATCTGGCCTCCTCTGCATGTGGCATGCATGTGATATACATACACAAATGCAGACAAACATATAAAATAAAAAGTAAACACAGATAGCTTAGCAGGTAAAGGTGCTTGCTGCCCAAGCCTGCTACCCTGAGTTCAAGCCCCAGAAACCATGTAAGGGTAGAAGGTGGGTACCAGCTGCACAAAGTTACCTGGCATCCACCACTTGTGGCGTGTGTGCCCTCATGCAGGCACACACAGTATGGCTTTTCACATTCAGAAAAGTAGTACATGATCTGACAGTGAGTGCTTATGGATGTGAATAGGTATTGCTGTTAGGTTTTGGATTGTGGCTCACTGTAACCCACGTGGCTTGCCCTTACTCACTGTCATTCTGTGCTGTAAGGTGTGGATCCAGAGTTGTATGAATTAACAACTGCTAAGCTGGAGACCTCCACCTCAAGCCTCAAAGTGACAGACGCATTTGCGAAGCTCATGTCTACAGTGGAGAAGACAAGCACGTCAACCAGGTAAACCTGCTCTGAACTTTGCCCTGATTTTATATCCTGGTTTAAGCATCCACAAGCAAAGCATGCAAGTTGAAGTGTTTGTGTGTTAAACTGACTTCATATGTAAAAGCCAGTAATGGTGAAGCCTAGAAAACACCATCAAATTAAGGTTCAATGATAGACTTTATTGAAGATGGACAGATGAAGTTTTCTCCTTCCTATACTCTCCACAGGGACCACACAGGGTACCATGTTTTCTTTGAAGCTGAAACAGTAAAGAAAAGACCTTTTCAGAACTTTAGCTAATATGCACCCTAACTTGAGGCATCGTGCACTCCTTTACCAAACTTATGGGGGCCCTCTTCAGGAGCAGTTACCTCCTAGTGTAAGAACCAGAGACAGGGACTGCCACTTGAACCTTGTATTTAACTGTAACACAGTTATGCCATCCTTAACCTTGACACACTAGGCATCAGATAAGCTAGTTCTTAGTGGAAGGGAGTTGTTCCTGCCAAGACATCACTAGTGCCAGGGCAGATGCGAATTGGTTAGCACTCTTCTTTGTTTCCCAGATCATCCATCTGCACTTTCAAGAGGGATATTCATGTGTCAGTTGCTCACCTTAGGAGTTTAGAATTTCCTATTGAATAATGACACGTGCCACTTAAATTTGTCTTTTAAGTTAATTCTTTCATAAGAAGCATCTATTTCACCCTTTTTCTTGTATTTTTTTTTTAATAATTGTAATCTCTTTGGGGTTTTGTTTGTTTTTTGAGACAGGGTCTCTCTATATAGCTTTGGCTGTCCTGAAACTTGTTATATAGGCCAGGCTGGCCTTGAACTTAGAACCACCTGCATCTGTCTCCCCAGTGCTGGGTTTAAAGGTGTGCACCACCACGCCTGACTTACATGATCATAGTGTCTTTTAACATTATTCTCTATAGATGTTCCATTCAACAGATAGCAACAATTTTGAAAAGCTGCTGTTGCTGGTCTCATGACTGTAGATGTTGCTAACTCTGCCAGGAAATAGGTTTGGAGCATGTAGGTGCTTTTGTCCACGGATTTACTCATCGCTGTAATGGCCCTGCATTGTCTTTGCCCTGTTAAATGGACTTTTTGCTAGTTGTATCTGTTGTGGGATTTGTGCTTTTATCTTCAGTGACTCCCTTGATGTTTGTGAGCCAGGCCTACTGCTTCCTTGCCTTTCCCCTGCAGATGCGCCACCTCCCCACAAAGGACTTCCCAGCTAAGAAAACTCATCCTCTGCGCCAGTAGGGGGAGCTCTACCCACGTTGTTAGCTGTGAGCCTTCCTTTTTTAAGGATCCTTGACATCCACTGTATCTATTGCCCAACCTTTGTTACTAAACTTCTCTCTCATCTTCTGAACTAAAAGAATAAACTAAAATTGTAGCACAAATCTAGGAGCCAAGTTGTAGCTGCCAAAGAGATTCTCTCTAATAATATCTGACCATTCTGTTGTTGAGGTACTAGAGAAAAAACCAGAGCCTTGCTTGCATACTCTAGGCTGTACCACTGGGCTGTTGCCTCAGACCCACTTAAATAAATTAATTAAACTGAAAACAAGCTGCCAGCTTTGGATTTAATTTTGGGCAGTATTTTGTTCTTTGAAAATAGTGAGAAAAAAATACCCATATCTTAGTACTTAAGTGTCACTGAGGAGTTTGGGTGTTTTGTTTTTATTTTTGTTTTTGCAGGGGCGAGTGCTGTCTCCTTTTTATTTTTTCCCCAATGCTGAGATGAAACCAAAAGTCTCATGAACAATAGACAGATATTTAAAGCAGAGTGTCAGCCCCAAACGATTCTTAGTTGTACAGAGAAAAAACAGGCAAGTGGCATGTGAGATTTCAAAAGGCTTCTCAATACCTTGAGCTTCAGGATTTACTTCTTTTTCTTTTTAAGCAATGGTTAGCAGAAGTATCTTGGCTCTTGGCATTACATAGAAGGGTGAGTGGGAAAGTCTGATGGCAAGTTATAGAGTAAGAAAGGGTTAATGCAGTGGTTGAAGTGGCTGTAATGATAAAGCCTATAACTTCAGCACTCATAAAGCTGAGGCGGGAGGATCATAAACTTGAGACCGGCCTAGGCTACAAAGCAGAATTCTATCTCTAAGAGCAAAGAAATGTTGTTAGGATAGAAGAGAACATTTGAAGTGGAACAATTCCCTTTTCCATTTCCAAAATCATATTTAGTTAGTGTGGGTGATGGGTGCTGGAGCCTAGTGCACATGTGATGTCAGGAGAAGCCATGGGCGTTGGTCCTCTCCTTCTACCTTGTGGGGTTGTCAGGGTCCTTGACTGACTGAACCCTCTGTTAGGCCCTCATACAGTTTCCTAAGAACCTTTGAAGAGTGAGGAAACAGGATGGGTCTTCTCTTCCCACGGACACAATTTCTCACTTCACTTCTTTTCTTGGTTGTTGTGGTGGGTGTTTTGATGTGCTCTATGTCTGACTGGGACCAGTTTGTCCCTCCTTAGGCAACCTGGTACCTACACTGGAGAAGCCAACACTTTGATGTCAAACTTTGAGTGAACCAAACTGGCATAGCGTACTGTAGGCATGTGCCACTGTGTCTGGCTGTGGCGGGCTTAATGTTCCCAGGGCCCTGCACATGCCAGGCAAGCACCGCACCCTGATCTGCATCACCAGCATGTCATTTGTAAGGAAATCCAAGTTCTTAGTTTGAAGATTGTTCCATCTTCTTGCTCAACTGTCCTATTATGGAGAACAGTTATTTCCTAACTTAAATTAGTGTGTGGCAGCTGGGTACCAGCTGCACAAAGGCCACTGACTGACAGTTGTACAAGCCAAAGAACTAGTAGCTAATGGGAATACTTTGGGGTTTTCGGTTTGGGATTCTATTGATTTAGTTAACATCAGAAAATCTTTTTTACATGTGTGAATTCACTAGTTTTTAATAGATTCACAGAGCTTTGCAACTGTCATCATTAAATTAACCCAGAAAATGTTTATCACCTTAAGCCTAAATTTCCTGTGTACATTTGCCTATCCCATCGAGTGGTGTGGATATAGACTTTCTGATTAGTTAGTGTTTTTTTTTTGTTTGTTTGTTTGTTTGTTTTTGTCTTGAGTCAGGGTCTCTTAGCTCAGCAGTAGCATTTGCCTAGCATGCACAGGTCCTGGCTTTGAGCCCTGGCACAACATGGCAAAAAGTGTGAAGTGGGGGTTGGAAAAGGAAAAACAAGCAGACTCAGGCTTGTCTCAAACTCAGTACTCTTCAGCCTCCTAGGAGTTAGATTACAGATGTGCATATCATACTGGCCTTGAACTCCTGATCATCTTGGCATTCACCTCCAGATTGCTGAGATTGATGTTCTATATTCCCACCAGTGACAGGAGCTTTCCAATTTCTCCACATTCTCTCCAGAACGTGTCTGACTTTTGTTGTAGCTGTGCCAGTAGGTATGAAGTGGTATCTCCTTATTGCAATTTGCATTTCCCTGCATCTTCTGATGTGCTCATTAGCATCCCTGCTGATAGGATGTCTTCCAGGTTGCTGCTTTAGATTCTCTGCCTATTTTCAGTTTGATCGTTGTAAGCTTTCCCTGTAACCTACAAATACAGTCCTGGGATCTGGAGAGATGGCACTAGCTGCTCTTCCAGAGGACCCGGATTCAATTCCTAGCACCTACAAGTCAGCTCACAACTGTCTGCAAGTAGTTCAGGGCTTCCGATACCCTCACACACTCATTTAGGCAAAACACTGATGCACATAATATATAAAAAATAAATTATATTTTTAAATACCAGATCTTTCTCAGATATATAATTTTCAAATATTTGCTACTCTGTTACCTTTTCAGTTTTTATACCATGTTTTGACACTCAAAAAAAAAAAATGGGTTTCATCAAAATGAAACTTTTTTCTTTTGCTACATGTGCCTTAAGTTGAAGAAATGGTTGCCTGATTCAAAGTTAGAAGGACCTTACACCTAAGAGTTTATAGTTTCAACCCTTATATGTGGGTCTTTAGTGCATTTCGGTTTGGCTATTTTTGGTTGATTGGTTGTTTCTTTCGAGACAGTTTCTCTGTGTAGCCCTGGCTGTCCTGGAACTTGCTCTGTAGACCAGGCTGGCTTCACACTCCGATCTGTTTGTCTTCTGACTCCCAAGTGCTAGGGTTAAAGGCATGCTTCACCACGCCTGACTTTCTAATGCATTTTAAATTCATATTAATGTGGAAGGCAAGGCGGGGGAGGCCTATATCCTGTTCCCCCCGCCCTGCCCTGCCCAGGGCTATCCAGTTGTCCTAGCAGTTTTTCAGAGTTTCTTCGCCCTTTTGGAAGGTTTTGTCATGTCTGTGTTTTGGGGGGAAGTGAATTGATCGCAGGCCATTCTGGACTGTCATTTGTGTGTAGTCCATTGATAAAAGCGAAATCTCAGCTAAAAAGAAATAAGATCAATACAATTGTTCTTAGATTCTCAAGCATGTGCTTTGTATTTTAACAACAGTAACTGCAAATAGATGTACAAACTTAAAAATTGTAGGAACTATTAAGTTCCTCTGAAAGCCATTGGTCATGCCTAGAGCAGTTGTCACAGTTGTCTCTTGGTTAAGAACTTTCCTTGTCCTTCTCTCCCAGACCCCCAAACCCACTCGCCCTTCACAAATGGGAAAGTGTCAGGCTGACCTCTACTTACCAGTGTTTGCTGCAAACAATGTTCACTGAGTTCTTTATTCTCCCAGTGTTCTGTAAACTGGAAATTATAGCCAGAGGCTTGCAAATACAGGGTAAACACTACCTGGAGTGCCGCAGAGATCTCCTAGCACATTGAAAACGTCTCACACCCTGCTGACTGCATGGCCACAAGCTGGCCATTATACTCTGCAGTCTGTATTAGTGATGGATGCTAAGACCTGAGACCGAACCTAGGAAGCAAGACACTTGTGTGACTTTGAAGTGGTGCAATTACCTACTAGTTCCTTAAGCATCTAATGATGTATTACCATTAAGTGCAATCTAAAATGTAAATTTCTTTCTTTCTTTCTTTTTAACTATAGGATTGTCATTGTGTACTTCCAATTAGGACTAGGTTAAATATTGATTCATCTGCTAGTAATCAATAAAGAAAGAATTGGGCTTTCTGTAGTCACTTTCAAATGATCTTTGGTCTGAAATTGATCTGTGTGACTGTAATGGTCCTTTCAACATAGTTAACAACCTAAATGGCTTGGATGGCATTGTGCACTATTTAGGCACATTTGACACTCACTGGGCATTTTCTTCAGCTTTCCCACAAGTTCACCAGGAATTTTTGTTCATCTGAGCTATGCTTCAAGCTACTTGTTACAGAGAGGGGAGTTGTGTTATATAGATATTATCTACAAGGTCCTCTGTGAGGTTTAAAGATTGCCTCCCTGGTTCCTGCCTGTACCCAATTCTCATTCTGCTGCCTGCATCCCAGCTTGGCTGAAGGCTCTCTCTTGGAATTCCCCATTAGGTTATGGAAGCCTGAGGTTAAATGACTTACCAGGCCTTGCACCACACCTTTCATGTTGAGGTAATTTTGGTAGTTTTGCAGCCAGCAGGGGAAGTCCAGGTGGGTAGACTGTTACCAAGGCCTTAGCACTCTACTGGTGCTTAGTAATGTTTGAAAATTGTGGCTTCCTAGAGGCTGTCAGCCTTAACTAAAGCCTTGAGCCTATACACATGTACATATGGATGTCTGTGTCTGTCTTTATGCTTGATTTCATGGACAGCAAAAAAGCCACGTGCATTGTTCTTCATTCAGCAGCTAGCAGAGGAAAAGCCGGTCAGATACCCCAAAACTGCTGACTGCATGCCTTGAGAGGGCATTTCTTTCCCCAGTTCATTAACACACTTGTCTCTTCTCATTGGCTGATAGGAAACCAAAAAGAGAGGAGCACCTAAGTGAGGAAGCTGTGAAGGTGATCGCCAGCCTCCCTGACTTAACCTTCATGCATGCCAAGGTGTTGATGTTCCCAGCCACATTGACGCCTTCCACACGCTCCCAGGAACAGGCAGACGGCTAGCTGGTTGAATTGAACAGTTTCCAATACTTTCCTCCATCCCTTCCTACCATCAAAACATATCTGCTGTAATTTAAAAATAAATAAATACAGTCAAGTTCAGCTGATTTGTCGGTAAGGCACACTAGAAAGGTATACATAGTAATGTATATTTATTTACATACTGAAGTCCTAAATTTATATTAGAAAAAATGTAAATAATTGGGGATGAACATTTTTGAAGATTTATTCTTTTGTGTTGCTGGGGTGTATACATTTATGTCTTTGTGAAATACACTGGTGGTATCCTTCTTTAAAAAAAAAAAAAAAACTTTTGAAATAAAAAAAAAGAAAATTAAAAACTCAGATCTCTACTGTCTGTGAAATCCCCTTCAGTCTTTGCCCACTGCATTGACCACTCTTAATTTTCTTACTGTATGCACTGTTACTTTTACAATCACAAAAGCTCAAATCCCTGTCTGATTGTCAGTTTTGTATGTGATAGTTTGTGTCAGGCCTGGCTTTTGTTAACTTTTCTGGGCTCTGTTTTTAGTCTTTTCAATCTGGCATATTGCTGTGTGACCTTTGCAGAGGTCATCGCTGCTCTCTGGTTGTGGGGTGTGGATCACTGTCAGAATTTGATTACAGGCTTGAACGAAATTGTGCCTGTCTTAATTAGTGTGATTTGGAGAAGGACCAAATGATATGTCTTAAAATGAAATTTGTTAGAAATCTTTCTGTTCTATCATACCATTATTTTTTGAGGATTTTGCACAATGTAAAAATGACATAATCATAGATTGCTATGGTTTAGGCTGTATATACAGAAAAAAAAACTGTGGGTTTTAAATGTTTGGGGAAATTCCTATGGAAAAAAGAGAGACATGTAGAAGGGCCTCTAACAAGGTAACGTGCATGCCCAAAGGTTTTAAGATTTCAGTGTGTAAATTTCCTTTTAGCTTACACAATAATAAAATAATTTAAAAGAAATTTAGCCTTTTATCTTTGTACTTTAGCATCTCAGGGAAAATGTAATGCATTTGAATGTGAGGTTTTATTCAGAATTAATGAGTTTCGTTCCAAATGAAGTGATTTGGTAGGATTTCTGCCTGGTTAAAATGAAGAATTAAAATCTGGTCTCTTAAGAACTGAATTCATGAGGCTAGAGAGATGGCTCAAGGATCAAGAGCACTTGTTCTTGCAGAAGACTGAGATTCTAGTAACATGGTGGCTCACAAACATCCATAACTACAGTTCCAGGGGACACGACCCTTCTGACATTGGAGGGCACCAGGCACAGTTATGTTAATAGACATACATGCAGACAAAACATACATACACAGAAAATGTAATAAAGTAAACTAAAAAGTTCTAGGGCCAGCTATCCTGGTTTACACCATAACAAAAGAGACTGTCTCAAACAAGGTAGAAAGGCAACAACCCTAAAGATCTGCAGTGACACACAATGCCCCCCCCAACGCACACATGCACAAAATAATAGGATCAGTGCTTTTTAATAGCTGAACTATTTTTATGTGTACAACATGAGCTCATAAAAGAAATTCCCATAACTCATTATAGCATGTCTTCAGAATATTGAGGTAGTTAAATAAGAACTTATAGGGCCATGCAGTGACGGCCCATGCTTTTAATCCAGATAGAGTTCTTTGAGTTCTAGGACAGCCAGGGCTACACAGAGAAACCCTGTCTTTGGAGAGAAAAAAAAAAAATTGTAGGGAGCCCTCCAGAAAATGTTTGCATCAAATTAGGTTGAACAGAAAATTCCTAAAAAGTAATTTGGAGTTGGGAGGTCCTAGATACATGGTATGATGCTTAAGAGCACCTGTTGCTCTTGCAGAGGGCCAAGGTTAGCTTCTCAGCAACCACATGGAGGTTCACAAACACCTGAAACTCCAGTGTCAGGGCATCCAGCTCCCTGTTCCAATCTCTGGCACCAGGCACACATGAGTTGCATATGTGTACATGCATATGCACACAGAAAAATATGTAAGTCTAAGACAAAAGTTGTTTTATAATATTGTCATTAGAGATTTTCCAGAAAAAAAGTTACATGACATACTAGAGAACAAGTTGTCAGCCAATGGGAGCCTACAGTCCACTAGAATGTTCTAGTGGAAGACTTGACATTGGCAATGTCCTGGTTGCCAGGTAAGTATGGCCTAGAGTTGGCAGATGCTCCAAGTCTCTGATATTTCAGGCATTAAAATAAGGAATTGGAGCTACTGTACAATACTATCCTCAAAGCCAGGGGACATATCCATGAGTTCAGCTGAGCCATGCTCACCAGACTGTTGACCTCTCTCACAGAATCAAGGATGGGAAGTCAAGGGCCCTCACCTGAGTACCCAGCCAGTTGTATACAACTTGGCCCTGACTGCACATAGCCTTTGGGTCTGGAGGAAGGTTACACTGTGTAGTCTGAAGATTAGGGGAAGTGGGCTCCATCTACATAGCCATGAGGAAGCCATCATCCATACAGGATGACAACATTTCCAGTGTGACTAGGATCACTGTGCTTCTACTGGTAGCCTCTCACCCATCCATACCATGTAAGTATGCCGCATAAACTCATTAGGTGTATGGAAGGAAGGGACAGATCTGGAGGCGTGCTGTGTCATTGGGACTTTACAAGGAGGGGGTGTATGTTGCATAGTCTCCCTGCCCAGGATGAACATAACAACAGGAGTGTGGTGGCAATTTTAGTTGTAAACTTGACTACATCCAGAATTAACTAAAACCCAAAAGTGGCTGGGTGTACCTATTAGGGATTTTTGCTAAATTAAATCATGTGAAGTAGGAAGACCCTCTTCTAATCCAGATCGTTGAAGTAGGAAGACACATCGTTAACCCAGATCTTTTGAGGTGGGCAGCCTCTAATCTGTATCACACTGCTGGAAGCCTATATAAGAACATGAAGAAGGCAGCTTCTGCCCGCTTGCCCTCCCCTCCCCTAGCAAATCCATTCCTTCACTGGTGTCAGAGCCTACTTCTTCAGGATTCCAGCACAGACTGAAGGCCAGCAGACATCCAGCCTCGTGGACTGAACAACTACTAGATTTTTTTGGACCTTCCAATCATGGGCAGCCATTGTTGAATAGCTGCACTACAGCCAGTAAATCATTCTAATAAGTCCTGACTAATATAAGGGGCAAAATAACCAAAACTATGGGGGTATAGAACTCAAGCATGTTTGACATACATAATGTCCTAAATTTGACCCCAAGCATGTATGCTTGTAGACCCCATTCACAGAGAGAGCGAACGGGAGGAGAGAACAGAGGTGAAAGCAACCTTAGGGACTCTAGGCTTTTAGGGCTGAAAGATGAACTGCTCAGTGCTCCCCCAAACCTCTCCCAGGAGCTCCCAGAGCCAGAACACATATGGGGCTGAGTGGCTACAGAATGTCCTGTTCAATAAAAGCACTCTGTTGCTGTAGAATATTAAGGGTCAAGAATGAATCAGTTCTCATAGTTCAAGAAATTGAAGCATAAGTAAGGAAACTGACTTGTGCACAACATCACAGCTATATCCTGAGGCAAGACCCAACCCCCGGCTCTGTGTACACCTTCCTGTGTGTTCCCTCAAAGAAATGGCCTGTGTAGCCTGAACCTGCGCAGGGCTCAGGAGCCCACAAGCTGCCCCCACACACTCGCTTTGTTGCTGTCACTGTCGTCATAACCTTCCTGTTGTTCCTAGCTGTCCACTTGTATTGTTGGATAAACTCATCCCTCTTCCCCACATATCTGAAGGTCACTGCCATGTTCCTCTCTCACCAGGTCTCCCCTGACATCCTTCTCTGAATGTCACTGTGTTCCCCAGGCTGGATCAGGTGTCACTCCACCATGACACGGGCTTCAGGTTTATTCTCTTTCAGACACTTAACCTATGCTAAACTTCTTTCCCTAGTGAGGGCAATCTGCCTCTTTAACTCAGGTAGGTGAGGCGCACCGCCCCCACACACTACCATCAAGTCAGACGTTGTCATCTTATGTCACTGAGTTCTTAAAACCTAAATGCATGGTTTACATTTATCTTTTTCCAACCCTCCTATGTCCATTTTAGACACTTTCAGTCAGCCACTGCCCCAAACTGTCATTGTACCCCATTGTGTGCCTCAAGAGGTCCGGGAAGAAATAGTCATCTGGTTAGGGTGGCACACAGCTGTAACACCAGCTCTCAGGAGGCTGAGGCAGGAGGATCAGGAGTTGAAAGGCAGTTTGTGCTACAGAGAGAGATTAAATGGGTAAAATGGCATCCACTCAGGCTCAAGGATAATCCATATCACCTGTGGCACACAGTGAACACTAAGCCAGTAATTTTTATCATTATTCACTCGGGCCAGTGTTCTGTCACTACAGATGAGGATAAAGATAACAGTAGACAAACCCAGATAACTGTCTACTAAGAATAGTAAGCCAAAATGTTATCCTCCTTTCCAGGGAGCTAAAGCCAGCCTTACAGTGTGTGTCATGTTTCCATTAGTCACCATTTCAGCTACCTTAAACTCTGAGTGACAGTGTGAACCATGCTCTTAGCTCCTCACCCTCCCTGTCCCTCACACACCTCAATGGGGTCTCCTGGTCTCTCCCCCATCAAAGACCAAAAGGGCCAAGGCTTGAGAATAAGGAAACCTGCACCCACCTCTGAATGTGTTACTCTAGCCTTCAACTTGAGTCTATTTCCTCCCTAGGTCCCTCAAACAAAAAGCTTCCAAAAGATCAGGCATGGTGTACACACCTGCAATTCCAGCATTCAAAAGGCAAAGGGGAGAAGATTCCAAGTTTGAGATCAACCTGGACTACACAGTGAGATCCTGATTCAAGCTATCAAATGCAAGGAGGAGAGGAGGAGGGGGATGACGGGGAAGAGGAGGGGACCAGTCCTAGTGTTCTGGGTGAAGCCTTCCTGGCCTCTTGTTGGGTTGCAGGTCTCTTGGGCCAGCCTTATTGGAGGCCCAGCACTCCAGCTTTAGTTCCCATGTACCATGTGTGACATGACCCACATCCACTGTCCTTGCTAGCCCTCCCTCAGTGAATCTACTTCTAGTTCACCCTTGTCCTCTTCCCCTGCCTTACCCTTCATCCTATGGGTCTAGAGTCCTATCATTCACACGTCTTACATAGCTACATCCTCACAGGGCCCATCCATCTTACCTGACTGCCACTCAGCCTCCAGGTGACACATCTTCGTCTTCTTCCTCCCAATCTCATCTTCCACTATGCTGACAGAATGTTCTTTTCCTAGAACGAGTCCTTTCTGAAGCCCTCTGAATGAAGTCTTATCTCACGCATTGCCCAGGTCTGGGCTCTGCCTCGTCTCTACACTGTGGGCTCTTTTCTGGCTACCAAATGCCCCAGCAGCTGGCTAAAACCATACCCTTACCCAGGAAAATATTCATTCATTAGCCAGCATGGTCTCTGGAAACCTTTTTCCCACCCACACTGAACAGACTGGCCCTTCCAGCATCCCAGGATTCATTGCAAACCCTCTGACCACATAAGACTTAAAGTAAAACTAGTTACATTAATTAAAGACTATATCATGAAATGCAGTTCACCGGCCACCACATCCCTGCCCGCTCATATCCGAACACATGGTTCCCAGCTGGCAGGGCTAACTTGGAAGGTTCTAGAAACTCTGGGAGGTATGAACTGAGGAAGTAGGTCACTGAGGGTGGGCGGACCTTGTATGCTTATATCCTGGTCCCTCACTCTCTGCTTGCTGGTCCACAGTGATCTGAATAGCTGTTAGCACATACACCCACAGCAACAAACATTACCACACCTTCTCTACCGAAACGAACCTTGAACCAATGTAAACCTTTCTTCCCTTGGGTTGCTTCCACTCAGGGACCCACAAGACACATTTAGTGCACTGCTGGTGGGATACCCAGACTGGAACTGTTCTGTGACTCCCCCAACCCCATCCCACTGAGCCAAAAAGGAGAGCCCTGCTCCCAGGTCCCGGCA